TTTATTTTTAATGTATGTTTAACATCAATTAAGAGAATTTTATTAAAACTTTCTTATTATTCAACAGTTATAAGAGCTATGATCAATACCTTTCAGATAATTTATTTGAATACCCAACCCATTTAAGCTTATTTATAAATTCTTAAGAAATGTAATCAGATGAACTTCAAATTAACAATAAAACAGTTAGAATGCTTCTGCTCAAACCTTATAAAATAATTGAGCAAGGAGTTAGTAAAATGAGTTCATATTTGATGATCCCAAGTGATTAAGCACTTAAAGAGTATAAAATTTATATTCCTACTTTACAAATAAGTTTTAACATATTTAATGATTTTAAAATATAATTAAAAAATAGTAGGAATGAATTGATGACGAATGTCAATCATTTCTAATGCCAAATTACACAAACAACTTTAGAATTAAGTTAAGACTTTTTATTAACCGAATCTTAAGTTATTGCTATTCTTGAAACAAATGAGGATAAAGATTCTTTTGATTTAGGATCTATATCCTTTCATTAAAATCCATATCAGATCGAAAATCAAAGTTTATAGATATTAATAGATTGTTATGATTAAATTTCCGAAAAACATTTATATTATATAATCAAAGCATTAACATATAAATGCTAATTAGGAGAATTTTATGTTGATGAAGGGTGTTAAATTTGTGAGTCAATATTCGGATATTATTCAGTAACTTATAATGCTACAAAATGCTCAATATTTGATAAAATTAAATTTGCAAATATAACTTCAAATTCAATCTAATTATTGGAAGGATTTTGGAGACCAAATTTATACTCTGATTATACAGAAAATTGTTTTAAGAATGTGAAATTTTGTAAAGGGGGTTGGATGGTTGGTAACTAACTTTGCAGTGTTGGACATTTGGGAGGTTTGTGTGAAGAATGTGATTCTCATAATATTAAAGGGGAAGGATAATTTTTTAAGAATTAATAGAATGCTGAATGCTTTAATTGCTCTACCAATACAATTACTCCCTTTATTTTGACTTCTCTGTGGTAATAAAATATAATTATTAGAGGGCTATCATTATGATTCTAATAACTTTAAAAAGTATTGAAAAATCAAATCAATTATTCTTTGCCTGTAAACTTAACTTTAAGCCATCAATTAGCAAAATATTATTTAAATTGGGTTAAGGTACCATTATAATTGTAAAAAGTTAGATATGGAAAGTATATTCATTAAGATGGTATTAAACTATTTATGGATATTTTCTGTCATATTTACATTTAATATTTATTTTTCAATTTCGCTCTCCTTTATTGAACCAACTAGCAATGCTTCATAATTCCTGGCATTTAGCCTTGATTGCTTTTTATCAAATACTTTTAAGCATGAACTCATTTATATCAGAATTATAGCTACTTTTTTATTAATTCTAATATAATTTATGATTATTTAGCTTGGATATAGCATTTTTACACTTTTCACAAAAGAAAGATTCCAAACAAGCTTTATTTAGTTGTATCGGAC